TTAGTGCTTATTAACCTATTCCGACAGATGCTGCACTAATCACACAACTTATCTAATTACTTCTAATTAGTTTATGTTTATCCTCCTAGCTTAACAAATTTGTACAATAGGCCATTTTCATGACCTGATCTAAAACACGCAGCTTAACTTTCTTACAGCATTCATGAACTAACTATACCTAGTTTTTTTTTTGACAATCATTATCATGATATATTTATAGTAGCTAATAGTACATGGTCTACATGAGCTGACCACAGCGATTACAAAATAAAGTCTAGAAGAAACGAGAAAATCTTCGAGATCTTCAAACTCTTTCTTGCTTCTATATATCATGTAATCTCAGTACGTATAATCATATCTGAGTCATCGATCCCTGGAAAAATTTCCTATAAAGGTAATGAAATTTCCAAAAACATATACAGATAGTTTAAATCTACCAAGCCACACAAATTTATGTCAAAACTACACCCACATACTAAAAAGAAAAAACCCTGCTATGAATGGTATTTGTATCTAATTTGGCTGTGAATATTATTCCCTGCCGACAAGCAAGAGCACATCACGCCACCGGATTATTAGTATTGTGTGGTCCCGTCATGAATATTTTTATGATAATAGACAAAGTGTAAGAAGAGGCAACTAGCTAGCTGGTACCATACACTGGATCATTGCGTCTATTGTTGTCTTGTTAACCTGCTGCTTGGAGAGTTCTCTCGCAATGCAACTCTAGTTCCTGCAACCTTGCATCCGCGCGCCTTCGTCCTTCTGATTCTGAGGTTCATCATCTCATCCATGTAAGCTTCAGACCATTCCTTAGCTGTTCTAACTTTCTAAGATTTCCGGCTTCCAGAAATACTGATGTTCGTGTTTCTTTTTTTCCTTCAGGAATTCACTGATTTATCTAGCTGCTTGTTTCCCACTTCTACAGGTTCTTCATCCACCAAAATAGGGGGAATTATTTTTTTCTCCTGTTTGTGATTCATTTACCTCTCGTAAGTCAAAGGGAACAAGCAGAACACTGATTTTTTTTGCTATTCCATGGAGCGGGTGGCGCTGGTTGGTTTACAATTGGTAGTGTCGCCGATCCTGAAGAAACTCATCGCGGATGCCTCAACTTACCTTGGGGTTGACATGGCGAGTGAGCTCCATGAACTGGAGACCACCATCATGCCGCAGTTCGAGCTCATGATTGAAGCAGCTAGCAAGGGCAACCACAGGATCAAGTTGGAAAAATGGGTCCAAGAGCTCAAAGAAGCCATCTGCAAAGCCGAAGACCTGCTCGACAAGCATGAGTACAACCTCCTCAAGCACCAAGCAAAGAGCGGGAGTGCCTCCACCAGCACTTGTATGCATCTTGCATGTAACTGGCTGTCCAATCTGGGCACCAAGAACAGGAAGGTACTTCACCAGCTCAAGGAACTAAAGGTCATTCTTGCCAAAGGCAAGGAGCTCCGTGAACTTCTTTGCTTACCAGCTGGTAATAATAGTGCAGAGGGCCCTGCTATTCCTCAAACCACATCATTACCACCTCTGAAAGTAATAGGTCGTGACAAGGATCGCGATCGTATAATAAACTTTCTTACCGAGCCTGTTGGTGCTGCCACCGATGCTATATATTCAGGTCTGGCTATTGTTGGAGCAGGAGGCATGGGAAAATCCACCTTGGCACAACATGTTTACAATGACAAGAGGGTACAAGAACATTTTGATGTCCGGATGTGGGTGTGCATCTCACGCAGACTTGATGTCCGTCGTCATACACGGGAGATCATCGAGTCCGCGGCCAAGAGGGAGTGCCCGCGTGTTGATAATCTGGATACTCTCCAGTGCCAACTAAGGGACATGCTGCAGATATCAGAGAAAGTCTTGCTTGTGTTGGATGATGTTTAGTTTGATGATTCGAGCAGTCAGATGGAATGGGACCAGCTGTTAGCACCTCTGGTTTCACAGCTCAAGGGGAGCAAAGTTTTGGTAACTTCTCGACGGGATACATTTCCCTGTGCTCTTCGCTGCGAAAAGGTGCTCCGGTTGGATACCATGGAAGATACTCAGTTCCTTGCACTCTTCAAATACTATGCCTTCGCTGGGGCAGAAATCATAAACCTTTCATTGCTTGAAAGGCTAGAAGAGATTGCAGAGAAGATAGCTAAAAGGCTTGGACAGTCTCCCTTGGCTGCAAAAGTGGTGGGTTCGCAGTTGAAAGGGAAAATGGATATCTCTGCCTGGAAAAATGCTCTAACTTTAAAGATTGAAAACTTAAGTGAGCCCAGGACAGCCCTGTTGTGGAGTTATCAGAAGTTAGATCCACGTCTTCAGAGGTGCTTTGCATATTGCAGCTTGTTTCCAAAAGGGCACAAATATGACACTGATGAGTTGGTTCACCTGCTTGTAGTGGAGGGACTTGTTGATTCAAGCAACCAGAATAGGAGAATGCTAGATATTGGAAAGGATTACATCAATGAGATGGTCTCTGGATCTTTCTTGCAACCAGTTTCTAGTAGATTTCAGGGCACATACTACATCATGCATGATCTTCTTCATGATTTGGCAGAGTCACTCTCTGAACAAGACTGCTTCAGATTAGAGGATGATAAGGTGACAGAAATACCATGCACCGTCCGACATCTATCTGTATGTGTTGAGAGTATGAAACGACATAAGCACAATATCTGCAAGCTACGTAATTTACGCACTGTTATCTGCATCGAACCACTTACAGATGACATAAGTGGTATTTTCGATCAGGTTCTGCAATATTTGAAGAAGTTACGTGTGCTCCATTTGTGCTTTTACAATAGCAGCAAGCTACCTGAATCTGTAGGTGTGCTGAAGCACCTTCGGTATTTGAACCTCGTCAAAACTTCTATTGCCGAGTTGCCTGGATCATTATGTGCTCTTTATCACCTACAGGTACTTCAGTTAAACGATAAAGTTAAGAGCTTGCCTGACAAACTCTGCAATTTAAGCAAGCTACGGTATCTTGAAGGGTACCGCGATCTGACATACAGGATGTATGAAGTAGCTCTGCCTCAAATCAGTTATGTAGGCAAGCTAACTTTGCTCCAACATCTCAAAGAATTTTGTGTGCAAAAACAGAAGGGGTCTGAGTTGCAACAGCTCAGTGACATGAAAGAGCTTGGTGGCAGTTTAAGTGTCAGAAATCTGGAGAATGTCAGTGGAAAGAATGAGGCCATAGACTCTATGCTGTATCAGAAAAGTCACCTTGGAACCCTGTGTCTCGTGTGGAGTTCCAATAATGACGCAAGTGTAGAGGACAGTTTACAGTTGGAGATTATAGAAGGTTTGATGCCGCCGCCTCAACTTCAGTGCCTCGAAATTGAGGGTTACAACTGTGCCACGTATCCAAGTTGGCTACTTAAGGGTTCGTATTTTGAAAATTTGCAATCTTTTAAGCTTGTGAACTGCAGTGCGTTAGAAGGCCTACCACTCAATACCGATCTCTTCAGGCATTGCACTAAACTGCAGCTCCAGAATGTGTCAACTCTGAAAACATTATCTTGTCTTCCAGCAGCACTTACTCACTTAATGATTGGCAGTTGTCCATTGCTTACGTTTATTACTGATGGTGAGCTAGAACAGCGTGATGAGAGAGAGAACATCATGGGGACAGACTACTTGGCATCACAACTTGCCTTCATATGGGAGGTGGATTCCCGATCAGAAATTAGGAAAGTATTATCATCAGAACATTCATCTCTGAAGCAGTTGATGGATGCTGACAAGTCACATCTTCAAACCATTGCAAGTGCTGTAGAAAGAGAAAACAACGAGGTAATACTGAAAGAGGATATCATCAAGGCGTGGATATGTTGCCACGAGCAGAGGATTGGATTCATTTACGGAAGAAGCATCGGGATGTCGTTGGTTCCACCGTCAGGGCTTTGTCGACTTCACCTTTCTTCGTGCAGTATTACAGATTGGGCATTAGCTGTTTGCCTTGATGGTCTCACCTCACTGACAAGGTTGACCTTAGAGGAGATCATGACTTTAACTACACTTCCCTCGCAAGATGTACTACAGCATTTGACAAAGCTTGACTACATGTTCATCAAATCTTGCTGGTGTTTGAGGTCACTAGGAGGCTTAAGAGCTGCTACCTCTCTTTTGGAGGTTAGGTTGATTACCTGCCCTTCGTTAGACTTGGCACGTGGAGCAGATTTATTGCCATTATCTCTGAAGGAGCTCGTTATATCCCATTGCGTTGTCGCAGCCAATTTCTTTAGTGGTGACTTGCCGCAGCTGGTAGACCTTTCCATGTTTGGGTGCAGAAGCGCTGCATCCTTGTCGATTGGCCATCTGACCTCTCTTGAATCATTATCTCTAGGAGATTTCCCGGATCTGTGCTTTCTTGAAGGATTGTCTTCCCTGCAAGTCCATCATGTGCATTTGAAAAATGTTCCGAAGCTAACTGCGGAGTGCATCGCACAGTTTCGGGCACAGAAATCACTCTATGTTAGCAGCCCTGCGATGCTCAACCACATGCTCTCGGCTGAAGGCTTTACAGTTCCATCATTTCTTTCTCTTGAAGGATGCAAGGATCCATCCGTTTCATTTGAGGAATCTGCAAATTTCACTTCAGTCAAGTGCCTGAGATTACGCGATTGTGAAATGAGTTCCCTGCCAGGAAATCTCAAGTGCTTCTCCAGCCTGACGACACTTCAAATCCATATGTGCCCCAATATATCATCGTTGCCAGATCTGCCATCCTCCCTCCAGAGGATAGTCGTGTGGAATTCCGAACTCCTCGAGAAGAGCTGCCGAGCACCTGATGGAGAAAGCTGGCCAAAGATTGAGCATATCCGCTGGAAACAATTCACAGAATTTTGATCCAGCTTCTCAGCTACAATGATAATGGGAAGGTAAAGATTCCACCAGTGCACTCTCAAAGATAATCTCTTGTACTGTACTATTTATTTCAAAGATTTTTACTGTTTTAAATGCTTCATTTAAACAGGGGGCTCGAGACCTGCCCTCTCCAGTGACCTCGTCCACCTGTGATCAAACCGAGTACCTCCAACTCGTCTTACCCCAGTTCAACTCTCTCCTGTCTGTTGCCGAATGATCCATCGACTTCACCGAGACATGTCTAACTATGCATCCTGGTGTACTATCATTGTAGTTTTGTTTCATTATCCTCCCTTTGTGTTACTTTTGGTTGGTACTGGTTGTACCTGCTATATGAGTATGTTGTGATTTCTGGAGGCCAAGATCCATATAAACATTGTTGTGTTTCTTTTGGAAAAAATAAAAGTAACTGGGAGGCTGTTTTGGATAAAATTACTTAATTTTAAAAAGAAAATCCGGCTAGCAATGCTCTTCCTCTGGTTTATCTTTACCAATGTTCTGTGTTGGGTGCATCATTCATACTGTCAACTAATGTCCGCCCCGGCCCAGTTTCAGTTCACGTGGATCTGTGTTGTACTATGAATCTACCATGCATGTGATTTCTTTGTTAAACATGATCGATGCCTGGCTATGCACGCCAAGTGTGGCCTTGTGCGCCAAGGCTTCTGTAGGGTAGTTTGGTTAGAGTTTATCTCTATCTCTCTCTATCCTCTTAAACCTCCCTGTAATATCTCTGTGGTAGAGGAATAGAAGCAGTCAGGTGCGCACAAAGGGGGAAACCCTAGCCGCCGGCTCTCCGCGCCCTCCCTCCCTCCTCTTCCCCTCGCCGCCGCCGGCAAGGGCCAGCGGGCGAAGCCCAGCTGGCTTCGGCGGCGGCGGGGCCTCACTTCTCCTCCCCTCGCCCTCCCCCGGCTAGCGCGGGACAGCCCGGGCACGCGGAGGCGCTGCACTGGCGTGGGGCGCAGCGGTGCGGCGGCGGGTGCTCTGGGCGGCGGCGCGCAGAGCTTCCTCTTGCGGCGCAGCGGCTGCGGCCTCTGGTGGTGTCGTACCCGTCGGATCCGGCCAGATCTGGCGCCGGCGGCCCGGCGGGTGGCGGGACTGCGTGCGGCTTGGATCACGAGCGACCTGCCCTGCCGCGGCCGGTGGCTAGTGGGGTAGGTGGCGTGGCGGCAGGGCCTCCAGTTTGGGTGGCGCTGGTTGTTGGAAATATGCCCTAGAGGCAATAATAAATTAGTTATTATCATATTTCCTTGTTCATGATAATCGTTTATTATTCATGCTAGAATTGTATTGATAGGAAACCCAGATACATGTGTGGATACATAGACAACACCATGTCCCTAGTAAACCTCTAGTTGACTAGCTCGTTGATCAATAGATGGTTACAGTTTCCTGACCATGGACATTGGTTGTCGTTGATAACGGCATCACATCACTAGGAGAATGATGTGATGGACAAGACCCAATCCTAAGCCTAGCACAAAGATCGTGTAGTTCGTATGCTAAAGCTTTTCTAATGTCAAGTATCATTTCCTTAGACCATGAGATTGTGCAACTCCCGGATACCGTAGGAATGCTTTGGGTGTGCCAAACGTCACAACGTAACTGGGTGGCTATAAAGGTGCACTACGGGTATCTCCGAAAGTGTCTGTTGGGTTGGCACGAATCGAGACTGGGATTTGTCACTCCGTGTGACGGAGAGGTATCTCTGGGCCCACTCAGTAGGACATCATCATAATGTGCACAATGTGATCAAGGAGTTGATCACGTGATGATGTGTTACGGAACGAGTAAAGAGACTTGCCGGTAACGAGATTGAACAAGGTATCGGATACCGACGATCGAATCTCGGACAAGTACAATACCGCTGGACAGGGAATTGAATACGGGATTGATTGAATCCTCGACATCGTGGTTCATCCGATGAGATCATCGTGGAACATGTGGGAGCCAACATGGGTATCCAGATCCCGCTGTTGGTTATTGACCGGAGAGTCGTCTCGGTTATGTCTGCATGTCTTCCGAACCCATAGGGTCTACACACTTAAGGTTCGGTGACGCCAGGGTTGTAGAGATATTAGTATGCGGTAACCCGAAAGTTGTTCGGAGTCCCAGATGAGATCCCGGATGTCACGAGGAGTTCCGGAATGGTCCGGAGGTAAAGATTTATATATGGGAAGTCCTATTTTGGCCACCGAAAAATGTTCGGGATTTTTCGGTATTGTACCGGGAAGGTTCTAGAAGGTTCCGGAATGGGGCCCACCTGCATGGGGGACCCACATGAACGTGGGTAGTGGGGGCAAGGCCCCACACCCCTGGTCAAGGCGCACCAAGATCCCCCCTTAGAAGGAACTAGTAAGCGTGCACGTGCAACGCACGTATAACCCTATGACAAAAAAACAAAAGTGATTAAAGACCGGACAGTTGACTGTCTAGGGTTACATCTAGCATTACGTCTAATGCCCTATCACTACAATCAACCTATCATTGGCTTCATCAACAAGTTCTGGGCCCACTATGATGCCACTTAAAAAGTTTGACGTCTGTCTTGCGGAACAACGTATCTACCTTCCAGACTCACGCAGATACATGATAATTGTACTGCCAGCTTCTATTACCTCGTTACTATGAGGTATAGGTTGTATGCCCTCCATGTATTTTGCATACAAAAGAAGGCATTAACCAGCACCATGTAGGAGAGATGACATTCAGAAGCATTTATGTAAGAACCAGTCCAAGGAAGCTTGCGAGCACCTTCAATATACTTTGGAACCTTGGCTGTTGCAGCATTCTCTTGTATCTTGTATTTTGATTTCCTTACCAACACTTCTTGTATATATCCAATAAGATACCAGTAGAACCATCTATCACAGTCACACACACACACCCATCTTTTCTTTAAATGCATATGTACCAAGAAATATCTGCGATCTGGTAGCATACAGCTTCACCTCCTCACGTCACCAGAGCATTAACGCTCTAAACTCATGTTGAAACACCACAACCGAAACTCAGATGTCTTTCCACGTCTGGTTCATTCAGGTTTAGGAGAGCATAGTTCTGTTGATAGAGCACAACACAATTTTGGTCCTATCTTTTTATTTCAAAACAGAATGTATGTTTTGAATTATCACCAAGTCAGAAATTAGAGAAGAGTAATAGTTATGCAAACAACCTAAATACATGGGGGATTCCTCTATACACATCCCCAGAAAGTACCATAGTAACCATCTTGTGGTAAAGTGCAGCTGTATATTTTGTCTACACCCCAAGGAAACAATGTCATTTTTTAGGTGCAGCTGCATATTCCTGTTGCATATTTTTCACATACACAATCTAATCAGACTATCAGGCACTCAATTTTGAGTGAACAAAACATTCTCATTAAGCGATTAAAAGTTTATCATGATATCTATGGTATAATAAAATAAACAAACCAAATACAAGCTATATATATGATTACTGAAAATAGTTGTTTGCTATCAAGAAAAGTAATGGTGTTGCAGCAAGATGATCTGAACGTAAATCAAATGGAGCCGAATGCTGAACCTACTTCTTGCGGCTAGCTCGTCTAACAATGGAATATGAGTAACCCATTTGTATGAGAAGACAAGTGAGTCAGAACTCTCGTGTATTCACATTGAGCGATTACATGGGTTTATATACATGCATGTCCAACGATTGAGCCCTATCTAATCATGATAAGCATGAGGATCGTGCGGAGTGCTACGGCCGTTGCGGAGGCAGGCGGGCGGGCGCCGTACATGGTGATCGCTCCTGAAGACTCGGTGCAGCCGGTGGAGTGGGAATCGTGAAAGGGGTTCCAACAGTATGCACTACCTTATTGCAGTAGCTAAAGGGGCCTGTCCCCCACTCGCTCATGTCATCGGCTATCAGCTATCACGGATGATGAGATGTATCATGTATGCTCTTAGCATTACTAAAAAAAGGATACCTGAACGATAAGATGTATTCTCTTAGAATTACTCAAAATCAAAGAGTCCACTTTTAAATTTCCCAACATCTGAGTTGGAACTTTATATCTCTAATTATCCTCTACTAAAAAAACATGTCAATTACTCGCAAAACCTGCCATCACCAAAACATCAAACACTTGCAGCATAGAGCATCGTATCTACCATTATATATCACCGGCTCGTCTCATGTTGCCTAAATCTACATGGACCAATCAAATAGATAGCATATGAAAGGCAAAACTGAACCAGTTCAAACAAAGGCAAAGAATCTTCAGGCTCTGTACCAACAATGGGATTGCTCCTATTTTTGATAGGCTACAGCCATGGAAAAGATGCAGCCGATGGGCGGCCCGAAGATGATGTTGACACGGCGGCCGGCAGTGGCGAGGAGGCCATAGAGAAAGGTGGCGGCATGAGGAACACGAGAGATAAGGTAGGTGGTGTCAGGTGTGGTTGTAAGATGCATAAGCTTTCAGGGACACTAATAAATACAAAAACGGTGCTAAGATGCTTCATAATTTACATTCATCTGCCTACATGATTCTTCTCCTAGCATGTTATGAGTTTGTGAGAAAAAACAGACCCAAAGAACAATGCGGCATTAATGGCACAAGTTTACATTTAGAAAGGGTAAAGGTTTCAGTTTCATCAGGGAATATATCTATTTCACGATCGACTGAAAACCAATTAGCATTCATTCAATTTTTCCAGCTAGTAGAAGATTCAAAACTGTATGTATGACTCGTGTACTGTATGTCCTGTGTGGACAACCCCAAAAAAAGGACTGAAAATGGTCAGCTTCATTTAAATTTGAGACCAAATGAAAAGCTTACAACTATATGTATGACAAAAACGTAACATGGTCTGCATGTCAGTTCTAAAGGATCTTAAAGCTGATTTCTTTGTAGCCCATTTACAACCGGACATACAGCAACTTGTGCATATACCGACACTAATTCCCATACAATCCTGGTTCATGCAAATTTAAGAAACAAGATATACAAC